CACACACACACACACACACACACGTACACACACACACACGTACACACACACACACACACACGTACACACACAGAGAACTTACCCCCAGTATTTTGCTCCTCTGCTCCACATCCTCCCACATGGAGTGGACGATGTAACGGCACATGTACTTTCCTGCTCTGCCCTCCTGACGCATCCGAACCAAACACATCCTGACAAAAAAAATGATGTAAAAGTAAGAAAAGACAGCACGACAGGAAAACACTGGAGGGATCAGGAGACAGTGGGGAAGAAGAACAACTCACCACACGTGCAGCTGCGCTACCAAGAACCACGAGTTGAGTGTGTCAGGGAGGGCGCACTCTGAAACAAACACACAGTTACACTACATCAACTATCAGTCCATTAATGGATTCATCCATCGACAGAAAATGACTCAAGGAAAGCTGAGAGTTCTTGAAAACATCTGGAAGAGCTTCATTGAGTTTGACACAAATGTTGGTGATAGCGGAGCAACAGGTAGATGATTGTAAAGTGTACTAAACTGTTTTTCCCCTCCTTTCTTTATTACTGCATCATCCATGTATTTACCTTTAATTACTTTTTTAAATTATTATCTAATTATGTGCCTTGAGAGAAAGAAAAATATAATTTAAAAAAAACAACAGAAAATTCATCTGCAACTATTTTGATAATTGATTCTTTGTTTTTTGTCTTGTTTGATTGTCTTTTTATTCCAATTTGGATTTTCTGCTTTTCTGTGTCTAGTGTGATATTAGACTAAATATATTTGTTATCTTTGCCACATTTCACTGTGTATTGTTTCCTCAGTTTCGTGATTCGCTCTACCAGCGTTGGAGCTGATTTGCACTTACTTTCAAAGAAATCGTCGTAATTGATTCTCTCTACGCAGCACGTGTACATGCGCAAGGCAGCAATCTTGATTTTCTGTGAACACAAAAGTGAAAATATCAGTAACATCATAAACATCCTTAACAGAGATACTGCAGCTATAAGACATATTAATTGTACAGTGAAATTATAGGATCCATAATTAATAAGTAGTTGGACATATAGTCAGTAGAAGGTTTTCACATTCATCCGCTGAGAGTGGAAAGTTTCTCTGAGCTCATTGAAGATGGACAACATGGTTTCACATTTATCCTCTGAACCCACTGATTTCTGTGATTCCATCCACAGTGCTGATAGCTGTGGTCGGCTGCCACAAACACACACATTTAACAACTGTACGGAGCAAACGAGAGAACAGAAAGCAACACAAACCTCGTATTAAAAACAGGAAATGAGGTCAGAGGTGTGTAACTGCTCGTGCCAAACATTTCCAAGCCGGCGTGAAGCCCAACACTTTGCTAGATGACACAACAACACACATTCCTCTGCACGTACGCCACCTCTTTCACGGTTTGGCCAAAACCTCCCACGTAACCGAACCCTGCCATGGCTGTAAATGTTTCTGCTGTACTGACTCTTGGAAGACAAACTCACCACCAGGGTCTGATGCAATGGATGCAACCAGAACACAGACACATCCCTGAACATCATTAACAGCACTTTAATGATTTAATTCAACTTCTGGTGCTCTGCACAATGCTCGCCTTACCAACCGTCTAGGCATCTTAATTTCAACCCATTACCTGAACCGATTGTTGGACATGTTAACAATTAATAGTCAGTTAAGTAAGTAATGCCTGATGAGGTGTCCACCAGGACAGTTGGCTCCACAAAGTCCATTAATTCCTGATTACTGGTAACACCTGAGGTCCTTCCTAATACCTGGAAGAATCATTACCATCCCATAAGGTTCTAATACAACAGAAACGTTGTTCACTACTCCAGTAAATAGGAAGAACCACAGATACGACTTGGCAACGGGAGATATTTCTAGTTCCCTCCGCTCAGAGAGTGTTCTGGCTCAGCAACGAGCCAGAGAGCGAACGTTATGTTAACAAAATTCAAAGTCAATAACACTGCGTACGGTCGATGAACGGTAAATATAACTCGACTCTGGAGCAGTGGAAACATGGAAACGTGTTCTTTGGAGCGACTATCTGGTAACTAATGTTGGTTTGGTGGAAGCCAGCAGAATAGTACATGTTGTAAAGTTTGGGGCTGTTGTTCAGGGTTTGGTCCCTGCTCTTCTACGCTGCTGGTCAATATATTTGTAATCAATTAGATCTGATTGTGCGGGCGATTAACAGATGATCAATTAATCATTAAAACCCCAGTCACAAACGATTTACAAAAATCGCAACTGTGATTAGGACTGGGTAATGTTCACATTTTTTTGATCCACTTCGTATTGGAAGATTAATTCCACTATCAGTTCCTGTTCATGTTGCATCCTGACTATATTCAAATATAATTGTTAGCTCTGGTCTGAAAACACCCACATCACACATCAAAGTCAGTGTGAGAAAGTGTCCGCCTCGCTGTATGTGTGCATGTGTTTACATGCTGTGAAGAATATTCCTGGATGACAGCCCATAATTTAAGCTTCCTGCTGCGAGGTCGGAGCGGACACACACGCACACACACACACACACACACACTCTGGAGTCATATAACTGTCATATGACAAACGTGAACGACAGCAGCGCTCTGAACATTCGCAAACGCTCAATAAGCATTTCTGCTTAATTAGCGAGGGCGGCAAACCAACACCATCCATCTGCTGTTACCTAAGAATTTATCATTTGGGTTATTTTTCTATAAATTACAGTTACAGTCAGTGATTAGTCTGACACTCCCGCTGCCTCCCTCCCTGCCATGTTCCCCCTGGGGTGTTGTTGACATGTTCTTGCTCAGCCAACAGGTTAAATAAGGGGAAAGGTGCAGCTGTTATTGTATCTGAACATTTTCACTCAGTGTACATTACAGTCGCTGGGCTGACTCTCACCACTCACCCTCTTCCTCCAGCAGACACAACGGCTGCTACGACTCAAACTCTACCCTCAATGTAAGGCTGGGCTTTACAGGCCACACGTAAAACCTTGATTAGATGGCACAGATTCATGATTTCAGCAGATTTTCTTCTGCAAAATGCAGGAATACACCTGCAAGTAGGGCAGCAAGATATTGTAAAAAGATCATATTGAGATTAATTTGACAGATATTGCGATATCTGTCCTTTTGTTTCTATATCAAGGACTTACCTAACTCTCTCCTGTTCCCACCTCTTATTCAGTGTCTATTACAATGTCCACTGCTGCTTTCTCCTTTTCATTTTCCCTCCCTTTGTTTCCTCCATCCTTCACATTCCCAGCATTACTCACCCATTTGTTGTATTTGAGAGGTCCGGTGAAGCCCATGGCCTCGATGAGCTTCGTGAAGGCCCCGACTTCTTCCTCTGTGTGCTGGGGCGTCTCCTTCACATTGTAGAGCTGACGGGAGAGAAAAGGAGACGCGGTGAGGGGACGATGGAAGAGGAGGTGACAGGAAATTAAGAGGGGAGAACATGCGAGAGAAAAGAAATGTAGGAGAGAAAGGAAGATGGAAGATAAAAGATGCTTTGAATACAGCCGTTGACAGAGGTGACAGAGGTGACGTAAGAGTCCTGGTGGATCCTGGATACTCGCTGTACAACCCTCATTAAGTCAGCAGCACATACAGTCTCAGTATGACGACACACACCTGGGGAACGTGGCCTTTACCGGGCCAGTGCAGCTGTTGGGTAAATTAATATACTGACCTATTCTAAGCTGCATGATGTGTTCATGCCCTGACAGTTTTATTGCTGCCACCGTGACCCCAGTTCCCCTTCATCAGTGGCTGCAGAGGTCGAGCTTTAAAATGACTCCCGTTGCTTTTTCTAATTCATTTATTTGTTGCCATTATGTGTTTTCTTTTGTTCATTGTATAACTGATCTGACGTATTTTCACGGTGCCTTTGTGAATGAGGAATTTATTATGAGGCTAACTGAGCTCTTATTATTGGCTGTCTGTGCAGATATTTCCCCACAGGAGGAACCATTATGACTTTTATCTGACTGCATTTAAGGTTTCTATACGACACTTTTTATGCACCTTTTTATATACGATCCTCCAATTCCTCCTTCCAGTTTTTCCTGCTTCCAGTATTTACGAGGCGGCCCTCTGTCGAATGTAGTGCTAGTGCGTCTCCTTGGAAACCATTATTTTCTACCAAGTGTTGCGCTCTGAGAATTTCTCTCATTTGTAACTGTAAATACGCCGATGTGCGCAGCCAAAACTATCGAAGAGGAAGAAAAGAGCTGTGATGTTCCTCGTGCCTCTTCTCTCCAGGAGAAGAGAGAGGTTCAAGGAGGGAAACGCTGCCCGGACATGAGCGAGAGGGGACGCAATCCAGGACCAGATTATTATCGTTTATAAAGACACAGCACTGTGAGGATGCAACCATTTCTGTAACGCTGACCTTCCGATGTGCATTCAACTCTCGTCAGACCCGTTAATCAGTCAGCTGTGACGCCAACGCTGGAGCGAGGTGTGGAAATAGTCTATTCTGTAGTTCGCTGGTTCTCAAACTGTGACACGTTTCTCACTGGTGGCTCCAAACGGGAACTAATAGGAAGACAAGTGTGGACCAGGAGGAACCCTTTTCACCAAATTAGCTCTGGTTCTTGAACCGGTTCCATTCAGGATTCAACAGTCAACAATAAATTATCTTATTAGGAATAAATCCGCCTGCTGCACCAACATGTGCTGTCATTGAGTGTCTGTGCACCTATTGAACACTGTGTCATTTATTAGCCCTGAAACGGGACCTGGCTACTTCCTGCCAATGTCCTGTTCACCATTTGATTATTATTGTACTTTAAAGTTTATAATCTTTAGTGTTCACACAACTGAGGTTAATAAAGGCTGAGATGTAGAGAGGGATGATGGGTGTTTTAATATTCCACAGCCTGTCAATCATTTAGCTCAAGAATTCAAAATGAATGATTATTATTATGGACCCATAATTTATCGGCTGTCATTCGATTATCCGCTACTTAATCTGTAGTTTTAACAATAAGTTTGAACTTTTCTATGGTTTTTATAATATCTGGTTTTAGGAACTTCTCCCTTTATTTGATTTTAAACCACTTTGACTGTTTAACAGTGTAAATTCACACATTAGTTGTTGTTGTGTTACCTGTGTGTGTGTGTGTGTGTGTGTGTGTGTGTCTGTATCTGACTACCATTTTACTTT